AGTAGGTCTTAGACAGGGATGTGTAATGTCACCATGGTTGTTTAATATATTTATAGATGGGGTTGTTAAGGAAGTAAATGCTAGGGTGTTTGGGAGAGGGGTGGGATTAAATTATGGGGAATCAAATTCAAAATGGGAATTGACACAGTTACTTTTTGCTGATGATACTGTGCTTATGGGAGATTCTAAAGAAAAATTGCAAAGGTTAGTGGATGAGTTTGGGAATGTGTGTAAAGGTAGAAAGTTGAAAGTGAACATAGAAAAGAGTAAGGTGATGAGGGTGTCAAATGATTTAGATAAAGAAAAATTGGATATCAAATTGGGGAGGAGGAGTATGGAAGAAGTGAATGTTTTCAGATACTTGGGAGTTGACGTGTTGGCGGATGGATTTATGAAGGATGAGGTTAATCATAGAATTGATGAGGGAAAAAAGGTGAGTGGTGCGTTGAGGTATATGTGGAGTCAAAAAACGTTATCTATGGAGGCAAAGAAGGGAATGTATGAAAGTATAGTAGTACCAACACTCTTATATGGGTGTGAAGCTTGGGTGGTAAATGCAGCAGCGAGGAGACGGTTGGAGGCAGTGGAGATGTCCTGTTTAAGGGCAATGTGTGGTGTAAATATTATGCAGAAAATTCGGAGTGTGGAAATTAGGAGAAGGTGTGGAGTTAATAAAAGTATTAGTCAGAGGGCAGAAGAGGGGTTGTTGAGGTGGTTTGGTCATTTAGAGAGAATGGATCAAAGTAGAATGACATAGAAAGCATATAAATCTATAGGGGAAGGAAGGCGGGGTAGGGGTCGTCCTCGAAAGGGTTGGAGAGAGGGGGTAAAGGAGGTTTTGTGGGTAAGGGGCTTGGACTTCCAGCAAGCGTGCGTGAGCGTGTTAGATAGGAGTGAATGGAGACGAATGGTACTTGGGACCTGACGATCTGTTGGAGTGTGAGCAGGGTAATATTTAGTGAAGGGATTCAGGGAAACCGGTTATTTTCATATAGTCGGACTTGAGTCCTGGAAATGGGAAGTACAATGCCTGCACTTTAAAGGAGGGGTTTGGGATATTGGCAGTTTGGAGGGATATGTTGTGTATCTTTATATGTGTATGCTTCTAGACTGTTGTATTCTGAGCACCTCTGCAAAAACAGTGATAATGTGCGAGTGTGGTGAAAGTGTTGAATGATGATGAAAGTATTTTCTTTTTGGGGATTTTCTTTCTTTTTTGGGTCACCCTGCCTCGGTGGGAGACGGCCAACTTGTTGAAGAAAAAAAAAAAAAAAAAAAAAAAAAAAAAAAAAAAAAAAAAAAAAAAAAAAAAAAAAAAAAAAAAATTATTATATATATTATAATATATTTTATATATTATTTTTTTTTTTTTTTTTTTTTTTTCAACAAGTCGGCCGTTCCACCGAGGCAGGGTGACCCAAAAAAGAAAGAAAATCCCCAAAAAGAAAATACTTTCATCATTCATTCAACACTTTCACCACACTCGCACATTATCACTTTTTTTTTGCAGAGGTGCTCAGAATACAACAGTCTAGAAGCATAAACATATAAAAATACACAACATATCCCCCAAACTGCCAATATCCCAAACCCCCCCTTTAAAGTGCAGGCATTGTACTTCCCATTTCCAGGACTCAAGTCCCCACTATATGAAATAACCGGTTTCCCTGAATCCCTTCACTAAATTTACCCTGCTCACACTCCAACAGATCGTCAGGTCCCAAGTACCATTCGTCTTTCCCTTCACTCCTATCTACCGCTCAGCACGCTTGCTGGAATCCAAGCCCCTTACCCACAAAACCTCCTTTACCCCCTCTCTCAACCCTTTCGAGGACGGGCCCCTACCCCGCCTTCCTTCCCCTATAGATTTATATGCTTTCCATGTCATTCTACTGTGTCCATTCTCTCTAAATGACCAAACCCCCTCAACAACCCCTCTTCTGCCCTCGACTAAAACTTTTATTAATCCACACCTTCTCCTAATTTCCACACTCCGAATTTTCTGATAATATTTACACCACCACTTGCCCTTAAACAGGAATCTCCGCTGCCTCCAACCGTCTCCTCGCTGCTGCATTTTACCACCCAAGCTTCAACCCCCATTATAAGAGTGTTGGTACTACTATACTTTCATACATTCCCTTCTTTGCCTCCATAGATATCGTTTTTTGACTCCACATATACCTCAACGCACCACTCACCTTTTTTCCTCATCAATTTATGATTAACCTCATCCTTCATAAATCCATCCGCCGACACGTCAACTCCCAAGTATCTGAAAACATTCACTTCTTCCATACTCCTCCTCCCCAATTTGATATCCTTTTTTCTTTTATCTAAATCATTTGACCCCCCTCATCACCTTACTCTTTTCTATGTTCACTTTCAACTTTCTACCTTTCCCACACTTTCCCCAAAAACTCACCCACTAACCTTTGCAATTTTTTTAGAATCTCCCATAAGCACAGTATCATCAGCAAAAAGTAACTGTGTCAATTCCCATTTTGAATTTGATTCCCATAATTTAATCCCACCCCTCTCCCAAACACCCTAGCAATTACTTCCTTTACAACCCCATCTATAAATATATTAAACAACCATGGTGACATTACACATCCCTGTCTAAGACCTACTTTTACCGGGAAGTAGTCTCCCTCTCTTCTACACACCCTAACCTTGAGCCTCACTATCCTCATAAAAACTCTTTACAGCATTTAATAACTTACCACCTATTCCATATACTTGCAACATCTGCCACATTGCTCCTCTACCCAAACTCTATCATATGCCTTTTCTAAATCCATAAATGCAATAAAAACTTCCCTATCTTTATCTAAATACTGTTCACATATATGCTTCAATGTAAAACACCTGATCTACACATCCCCTCCCCACTCTAAAACCTCCTTGCTCATCCGCCAATCCTACATTCTGTCTTACTCTAATTCTTTCAATTATAACCCTACCGTACACTTTTCCTGGTATACTCAGTAAGCTTATTCCTTTTATAATTTTTACAGTCTCTTTTGCCCCCTTTTCCCCCTTTATATAAAGGGGGACTATACATGCTCTCTGCCAATCCTAGGTACCTTCCCTCTTTCATACATTTATTAAACAAAAGTACCAACCCCTCCCAACACTATATCCCCCCCCGCTTTTAACATTTCTGTCATGATCCCCTCAGTTCCAGCTGCTTTACCCCCTTTCATTTTACGTAATGCCTCACGTACCCCCCACACTTACATTCTGCTCTTCTTCCTCCTAAAAGATGGTTTTACCTCCCCGACCAGTGCATGAAATTACTGCCTCTGTTTCTTCCTTAACATTTAAAAGTTCCTCAAAATATTCTCGCCATCTACCCAATACCTCCATTCTCCCCATCTACTAACTCCCCTACTCTGTTTTTTTAAATGACAAATCCATATTTTTCCCTTTGGCTTTCTTAACTTGTTTAACTCACTCCCAAAAATTTTTTTTTATTTTCATTAAAATTTCTTGACAGTGCCTCTCCCACTCTATCATCTGCTTCCTTTTTTCACTCTCTCACCACTCTCTTTACCTTTCTTTTACTCTCCATATATATATATATTTTATATATATATATATTATATATATATATATATATATATATATAAAATATATATATTTATATATATATATATATATATATATATATATATATATTTTATATATATATATACACACACACACACACACACACACACACACACACACACACACACACACACACACACACACACACACACACACACACACACACACACACACACATACAGTGCTTGATCAAGAGTATAACTGCATTCTAGTCCTCTGAAATACATTCCAAAAATATGCCACATTGTACTGCTATAAATGTGGTCATAACTAATATTTTTTTTTATTCCATGAATGTTCTTCTTCTTCTTTCAACGTACCAGCCGTATCCCACTGAGGTGGGGTGGCCCAAAAGAAAAAACTGAAGTTTCTCCTTTTAAATTTAGTAATATATACAGGAGAAGGGGTTACTAGCCCCTTGCTCCCGGCATTTTAGTCGCCTCTTACGACACGCATGGCTTACAGAGGAAGAATTCTGTTCCACTTCCCCATGGAGATAAGAGGAAATAAACAAGAACAAGAATTAGAAAGAAAATAGAAGAAAACCCAGAGGGGTGTGTATATATATGCTTGTACATGTATGTTTAGTGTGACCTAAGTGTAAGTAGAAGTAGCAAGACTTACCTGTAATCTTGCATATTTATGAGACAGACAAAAGACACCAGCAATCCTACCATCATGTAAAACAATTACAGGCTTTCGTTTTACACTCACTTGGCAGGACGGTAGTACCTCCCTGGGCGGTTGCTGTCTACCAACCTACTACCTAGGTTCCATGAATGTATTTATATCAAATTTCTAACTCCAAACCTGTAACCCATTTTCAGTGAGCTTTAGCTATAGGTTAAACATGTACGTATTATAACCTGATGCTCATAATGATGGACTTATTTCAATGTACTGATTCAGATTACAAGCCAATATTCAGAAAAATGTGATGCAGTTTAATAAGAATATTAATTTAAAGACCAGTACATTTAAAGTTTAAAACCTGCAAAAGCTTGATACAATGCTATATTCAAAATTTCCACAGGAAAGAGTATGTGCCCCTGTGTCCTGTCTGAGACAGGTCCTGAATTTACACATCAGATTTATAAGATATCAAGACAATATTAAACAATTTTACAGCAAGTGTATAGGAAAAAAAAACATTATGACTCGTATATAATTTCAATGAGATTAGTATCATGCAAAGCCATTTAACATTTGTAATATGCATGGTTAATCAATTTTGAATAAATATCTAAATCACTACAAAATTTTTCACTTCCATATGTGGAGTCCTGAATAAATTTTGACAGAATAGAATGACTTAGTCTCCCACAAAATCCTTCCACTTTGATATCCAATTACTGTACTTTTATTCTTAAAAAATCTTAGCTTACCTCCATTAAGCATTGGATGTATATCAAGAGGTAATATATGGTTTCTTTCTTCTGATGCTGAGAGGGAACTTGGAGAGCCTGGTGGAGACACACTCAGTATACCCGGAGAATATCCTGGAGTTGGTGTTGTAGAATAGTTGGAGGGTTGAAACAAAGGTGGAGTGTCTGCTCGCTCTATTCTAGATATATCTTGTCTTACATCAGCAGGACGTTCTTCAACTCTCTGAGGTGGCGGGGAGTCTGGAGGACTATTATTTGCTCCAGGATTGGTGCCTGGGGTTGGGGAAGGACTTAGACTAGAACTAGGACTGGGACAGGGACTTGTGTTAAGGTTTGAGCTAGGGCTTTGGTTAGGACTCTTATTAATTCTTTGCATGGTAAAGTCTTGAGGTAGAGGACCACGTCTGCGCTTATTCGGCCGGCCTACTGCAGACTGGGTTTCAGCTGGTCGCTTGGAGCCACGGCCTCCAGTACCAGCTCCTCCACTTGTACCCATAAGATCAACATCTGCCTCATCAACCATCATGGACATCTTCTGTGAAAAAGAGATATATAAAAGAAGGCATTCCATTTATACATAAATCTAAGTGACTACACCTACCATCCGACTTACGGCCTGCTCGACATACGACCATTTGACTTATGACCGTGTTTGTATGCCAAATTTATGGGAAATTAACAACTGTTTGTGTTGTACACAGTGTTTATCCTAAACCTTACAGTATAAAATACAGTATTAACAGCATAAAAAGTAAAATAAAAAATGAAATGCCAAAATAAAACAAAAAGTCATTACAAAAATGTGATGTTGATATTCAGTAGTAAGGTTCAGCTTACGTCCATTTCAACTTACGACCAGTTGGTCGGAACCGAACTCGGCCGTAAGTTGGATTATACCTGCATTTATCTGTATCTGCAACTGAGATTACCTACTGGTAGCTACAGGAACAGAGATATGCTCACTGTAATTACCTATTAATAATGAATGGAACAAAATAGAATGACTTCAAGAATGTATAAATATGTAGTGGAGGGAACGCAGGGTAGGGGTTGGCCTAGGAAAGGTTGGAGGGAGGGGGTAAAGGAGTTTTTGTGTGTGAGGGTCTTGGACTTCCAGCAAACGTACGTACGTGTGTGTGTGTGTGTGTGTGTGTGTGTGTGTGTGTGTGTGTGTGTGTGTGTGTGTGTGTGTGTGTGTGTGTGTGTGTGTGTGTGTGTGTGTGTGTGTGTGTGTGTGTGTGTGTGTGTGTGTGTGTGTGTGTGTGTGTGTGTGTGTGTGTTTGTTTGTTTGTTTTAGATAGGAGCGAATGGAGACAAATGGTTTTTAGGACTTGCTGTTGGAGTATGAGCAAGGTGACATTTATAAAGGAAGTCAAGGAAACCAGCAGGCCTGACTTGAGTCCTGGAGATGAGAAGTACAGTGTCTGCACTCTGAAGGAGAGGTATTAATGTTGCAGCTTTATAACTGTAGTGTAAGCATGCCTCTGGCAAGACAGTGATGGAATGAATGATTAAAGTTTTTCTTTTTCAGGTCACCTTGCCTTGGTGGGAGACGGCCGATGTTTTAAAACTTGCTATATGGCAAATGGTCTTTCTAATATGGCGTGCCCCACCCAGTTTGCTTACATTCTCCATGAGCATCTCCCTCTATCACGTCTGGAAATTTTCCAAAATTTCAAGTTTTTTAAAGTTATTGCATATTTTATGTATACTCTGATAATTATACTTATGTGTACCTGTACCTAAATACACTTACACACTGCTGGTGTGCAGGTACACATTAAAATCACTACGAGTCTCTCTACTTTTGATGCTATATAATATCGTATATTACGTTGTCGTATATTACGTTAATATAGACATTTCCATTAATCCATCTATGATATTTATTTTTAAATTATATGATAAAAATGCTACATAACATATAAACATGATACATACACCCACAGCATAAAAATTGACACAAATATGAGATTTGTTTACCAAGTGGTTTGTAGGAGAGTCGGAAGAATTACATTTTCTCTAGTCAAACACCAGTAACTGGTGTCTGACTATAGAAAATGTAATTCTTCTGACACTCCTACAAACTGCTTGGTAAACAAATCTCATATTTATGTCAATTTTTATAATGTGGGTAGAAAAACATTCCTTTCACTCTACGTATAGCTATTCACAATTCTTGTGGGTTTAGCGCTTCTTATTATGATAATAATAATAATAATTTGTAATAATAATAACTTATAATAATAATAATTTATAATAATAATCATAACTTGTCAGAGCATTATTCCTTCTAAAAACGATGTTACATGAGAATGGAAGTACTGGTCTTTATTTATTTTACTGTATCACTGTGGAGACAACTTGTACACAATGTAAGGTATCAACCATAACCAGATATGTTTGTTTACATAGTACTCTGCGGCTGTCATCTTACTCGTTCTCAATCTCACTTATTCGTTTTTATCTCGCCTCTTACCCAACATTAAGACTACAAATATTTTAAAGTAAGTAATGAGTGTACTGTATATGCATTTTATTACTCTAGGGCACTTTAACCCTTAAACGGTCCAAACGTATATATACTTTCACCCACCCAGCGCCCCGAATATTTTGAGAAAAAAAAAAATATTTTTTTTTATAGGAAAAGAGTATGTGGTACCCAGGCATCCCCAATTTTTTTCATATGGCACACGCTGAGTGCGCACACCCATTTTCTCATGTCTAGGTGACTCAGGCCTATCGTGCCAATGTTGAATGAATGACAAATAAAATGTATATGTACGTTTGGGGGCACTACGCGAGAGAACGTATATATACGTTTGGACCATTTAAGGGTTAAGCATCATAGTATATTATGTTTGGGTGAGGTGGCCAGGAGGGCTACCATACCTGACTTCTTACAGTAATTACTACTCACCTTTTGCCCTACATTAAGACTACAAATATTTTGAGGTAAATAATGAGTGTAGTGTGTGTGTATTTTACCTTTTATTCTTTTTAATGCCTAGTTCTATTACTAACTTAATATATGTTAGTATATATTTATCTGGCATTTATAAATGGGAAAAAATGGTGTTCTGCTTTCCGGTGATGTCTGCTTTGTGGCAGTAGCCTGGAACCTAACCTGCCATATAAGTGGGGCCCTACTTTAATTTCATGCACTGGCCAGGGAGGTATAGCACCTTATAAGAGTGAAGAAGAGCCGGATATGAATATGGGAGAGGTGCGTGAGGCACTGGGTAGAATGAAAGTGGGTAAAGCAGCTGGAACTGATGGGATCATAACAGAAATCTTATAAGCAGGTGGGGATAAATAGCTTTGGAGTGGTTGGTACTTTTGTTCACTGAATGTATGAAAGGAGGAAAGGGACCTGGGGACTGGCATAGAGCATGCATAATTCCTTTATATAAAGGAAAGGGGGACAAAAGAGTGTGTAAAAATTATAGGGGAATAAGCCTATTGAGTATACCAGGTAAAGTGAATGGAAGAGTTATTACTGAAAGAATTAAGAGGTAAGACAGAGAGCAGGAATGCAGATGAATAAGGAAGCTTTAGAATAGGTAGGGGATGTGTAGACCAAGTGTTTACATTGAAGCATATAAATGAACAATATTTAGATTAAGGTAGGAAAGTTTTCATTCCTTTATGGATTTAGAAAAGGCATATGATAGGGTGGATTGGGGAGTAATGTGGCAGATGTTGCAAGTGTTTGGAATAGGCTGTAGGTTAGTAAATGCTGTAAAAATTTTATTTGAGGATAGTGAGGCACAGGTTATGGCTTGTAGGAGGGAGATTACTTTCCAGTAAAAGTAGGTCTTAGCTAGGGATGCGTAATGTCACCATGGTTGTTTAACAGAGGATGGGTTTATGAAGGGCGAGGTTAACCGAAAAATTATTTCTTTTTATTAACACATCAGCCGAGTCCCACCAAGACAGGGAGGCCCGAAAAAGAAAAACTTTCATCATCATTCACTCCATCACTGTCTTGCTAGAGGGGTGCTTTACACTACAGTTTATAAAACTGCAACATTAATGCCCCTCCTTCAGAGTGCAGGCACTGTACTTCCCATCTCCAGGACTCAAGTTCGGCGTGCCAGTTTCCCTGAATCCCTTCATAATTGTTACTTTGCTCACACTCAAACAGCACATCAAGTATTAAAACCATTTGTCTCCATTCACTTGTATCAAATACGCTCACACATGCTTGCTGGAAGTTTAAGCTCCTCGCACACAAACCCTCCTGTACCCCTCCCTCCAACCTTTCCTAGGCCGACCCCTACCCCGCCTTCCCTCCACTACAAATTTATACACTCTCGAAGTCATTCTGTTTCGTTCCATTCTCTCTACATGTCCAAACCACCTCAACCCTTCCTCAGCCCTCTGGACAACAGTTTTGGCAATCCCGCACCTCCTCCTTACATCTAAACTGCGAATTCTCTGCATTATATTCACACCACACATTGCCCTCAGACATGACATAGCCACTGCCTCCAGCCTTCTCCTCGCTGCAACATATATCACCCATGCTTCAAACCCACATAAGAGCATTGGTAAAACTATACTCTCATACATTCTCCTCTTTGATTCCAAGGACAAAGTTCTTTGTCTCCAGAGACTCCTAAATGCACCGCTCACACTTATCCACTCATCAATTCTATGATTCACCACATCTTTCATAGACCTATCTGCTGACACATCCACTCCCAAATATCTGAATACATTCACCTCCTCCATACTCTCCATCCAATCTGATATCCAAACATTCATCGACTAATCTTTTTGTTATCCTCATAACCTTACACTTTCCTATATTCACTTTTAATTTAACCACAGAAATGATGAAAGAAAAAAAAAGGTGAGTGGTGCACTGAGGTATCTGTGGAGGCAAAAGGAATGTATAAGAATATAGTGGTACCAACACTCTTTTATGGGTGCGAAGCATGGGTTGTAAATGCTGCAGCGAGGAGGTTGCTGGAGGCAGTGGATATGTCATGTCTAAGGGCAATGAGACATATAAACATTATGCAGAGAATTCATAGTGTGAAAAGTAGGTGGTGTCGAGTTATTAAAAGTATTATTCAGAGGGCTGAAGAGGGGTTGTTCAGGTGCTTTGGTCATATAGAAAGGATGGAGTAAAATAGGATGACTTGGAGGGTGTATAAATCTGTAGCAGAGGGGAGGAGGGGTAGGGGCCGTCCTAGGAAAGGATGGAGGGAGGGGGTAAAAGAGGTTTTGTGTGCAAGGGGGTTGGACATACAGCAGGCATGTGTGAGCATGTTAGATAGGAGTGAATGGAGACGAATGGTTTTTGGGACCAGACGAGCTGTTGGAGTGTGAGCAGGGTAGTATTTTGTGAAAGGATTCAGGGAAACCAGTTAGCCAGACTTGAATCGCGGAGGTGGAAAATACAATGCCTACACTTTAAAGGAGGGATTTGGGATATTGGCTGTTTGGAGTGACATTTAAACTGCCGTATCTGCACGCCTCTGCAAAGACAGTGATTGTGTGTAAATGACGGTGAAAGTGTTTTTC